GCTTCGTAGTTAGCTCTGGTTCTTCCACTGGATTGACCGTAAATCGAAGGAAACATGTTGTCTTCTAGTGCTGCAACATAAAACCAGACATATCAGTAAAAAGGAAGAAAGAAAAAAAACCGAGAATCGAATCGGGAAAAGATGAGATTACAAACTAGTCAAGGAAGGAGAATGAAGATCCTATATGGCCCATAGCTACTGGACTTCGCTGAAGAGGAGGCACCGATCGCTAATGAAGAAAAGATCCGCGGCTTGAATGGCTGAGCAGAGGAGGCATCACGGCAGCAAGAGGATTGCTGGAATTAGAAATGATTGAAGCAAACACTGAAAATCATAAGAAACGAGACCGAGGACAACGATTGAAGCCTGATTCGAAGATTAAAACTAAGAGAAAGAAAATGCACTCAGCTTCGGCCATGGTCGAACCTATCGCTTTTCCCTTTCTTCAAACTTGTTCAGCCAAGTGAAGACATAGAGCGAGGGAGAGAGATTTAGTAAAGAGAAAATTGCGGGGAGAGAGAATCTGTCAACCAACAGAGAGAATGGGTGTGAGTTCTCCGATAGAGAGGGAATTCAGCGATTGAACGATTAATCAGGATTGGATAATCTGGTCGTGGTGGAGTTTGAGATTCCGGTGGATTGAACGATTCCTAAGGGGGAGATGTTAGTCAATTGAGTAAAAGTCTGCTACCATCTCGGGAGATTTTTGCTGACAATAACCTCCATCTCCATCTATAAATGGAGGAACAGGGGAAGGCTTGAGCTTTTACGGAGGACAACGAAAAAGCAGAGGGCAAGAGAGAGAGAGAACAAGAAATAGAGAGAGAGAGAGAGAGAGAGAGAGAGAGAGAGAGAGAGAGAGAGAGGGAAAGAGAGAGAGAGAGAGAGAGCAAGAAGTAGTGCTCCCTGGGTTTTGTCATGCTATTACCTTCTTGACCACATTGTGCAGTCGCCCCGATCTCACTCGTGCTGCTCGACCCAATGGTATAGTATTTCCATGAACCACCGTCATTTTTCGGTTACATATGCTAAATTTCTGCAGTTGCTCCTACTACTATTGAAAGAAAGCCAACCTACATTATCATGGACAGTTTACCACGCACACAGAGTTGGCGAGGGCTCTCATTCAAGTAGAAAACTCACCTCCAAGCCCTTGTGGCTGAAGCCTGCTCCTCTTCCTCCTCCTCCAATAAAAGGTCGCGCAGGCACAGAAAGTAAGAAAAATCACCACCATAATGGCGATCGCCACCAGCCTCCCCAATCCCCCGTTCAGAGGAGAGGAGTTTATCGTGGTGCGAGGTGTCTTAAGGGAGGTGGCCCTGCTGATCAATGCACCCGCGGGCGGGCTAGGCGAAGTCCTGGTGACGAGGCCATTCGCCGCCGCCGAAGCGGAGGCCGGCAGAGAAATAGACATCGGAGGATGTAGATTCCGAGGCATTTTGTTGGGCAGCGTTTGTCTGTTTGATCTTACGGCTATTTCTGGGGAGGACGGTGGCTGGGTTTAATTTGGCTTTGAACGGGGTGGATTGCCGGGGGTGACGCTGGTGGCGATTGCCGTCATCGGCGTGATTTTTCTGACTCGGACCACCACTGGAGCTTCATCAGATTTTGCTCCAGTGGAGAGGTGGGTTTATTCGCGCAAGTGGTCTTCCATTGGTAGACGGCCCTGGTGGTCAATGTCGGGTAGGCGAAGTAGTGGTGAAGCCATTCGCCACTGCCGGAGCGAAAGCCGGCAGAGATGTCGACATCGGAGTCCGGCGAGTCCGAGGCATGTTGCTCGGGATTTCTCTGTTTGCTATTTAGACTATATTTTTCTAACTTGTTAGTAGTCAAAAAAAGATGTGGGTCCCACACTGAATGGGTTTGGACGAAAGGTTGTGATGAGATGGGCCGACGCTTTAGTTATTGTTTATTATTTGTTATTTATCTTATTATTTGTTATTTATTTTGTTTATATTTATTTATCTTTATCTATTTAAAAAAATGTATGTTCGATTTGCTTAAAAAATAAAAGTGTCAACTAAGGTAACGAGGGCAGTGTTGCAACATCATAAAGTTCCAATCTTGACAATCTAGACGGGAGCTTCAAGCAATTTGTTTATCGCTGTATGTTCTATCCAAATTACTCTTAATTTCCTCAAATTTCTGATCGAATCGGGTAGATTGACTACTTGTGATCATAATAGATCCAACTTGAGTAATGATTATAATTCTCCAATCAAGCATAGAAGCTCCATTTTCCGGCAGCAACTGCATATTTGGCAAGTGTGTAAGTCAATCCAACACCCAATTTATTTGACAAAATGTAACAAAGACAAGATCCACGAGAGCTATGTTCAATTTTCCTATTAATCTCAATATTAAAGCTAATTAAAGCTATTTTTTCAGACTCATAACTACACAAAGATTACATTTTAATTCTTTTCTTTAAGAGGGAAAAACATATATACTGTGAGATTAAGGTTAGAATTGAAATAAGTAATAATTCCTAGTGTAGAAGAAATATTCTCCAAACCTTCCCAGTAATTATAAAAAAACCAAGATGGGCTGAGCTCACACGTTTTAAACATTAAGCTGCCAAGATCAACTTCGAATAGAAATTGAGATGAAAAAAATCAAGTGTGGCAGCTAAGAGATTTTTTTAAATGTGGTATAAGGAAAAATCAAGGCATGGGATTGAATAATCATATTTTCACATTTTCATAGGATCACTATCGAGAGTACAGACTTGTGTATCTCCAATAATTACCCGATGTGTGTGGGATGAAGAGACTGCTGCCCCTGATGGAAATTAATCAGATGCTCAAAGAGTCCTAAATACTCTATTGATATACAAGAGACATTTTTTTTGTCAAAAGAAATTTCCATTAATTACCAAAATCTAAGAGACATCTAAGTTTATTAATCTTGAAAATATACATTGGTTTTGAACTACATACATAACTCAATTGGAAGAAACCGAAGGTTCATAGAAGATGCCTTCTCATTTTTATTTATTTTATAAAAACTACTAAGCATAATCATAATTCATTTCTCGAAACATCACTTTAATAGTTCTAAAAAAACCCAATTTCACTGAGTAATTACACCCCATTGATGGGACAAGTGAATATAAAGTGTACTTGTATGTTATGGGGATCATTAACTCCATATTAATGTGTGCCTATTTCATGGACCGCATAGATCACAACGTTTTTTAATGGCTGAGCTTGACCACTCCCGTCTCTCTCTCTCGCTTTCCGATTCATTCACTGGAAAAGTAGCGTAACGATTCACAAAGCCGATGTCTTCTCATTGCAAACTCCAAATTGGAAAATAAATATAATAAAGCTGCTTGGAACAGTATTAGTATTTGCTAGTGCATAAATGCAATTAGAAGGCAATGGAAAATTGGCCAAATTTTTGTAATTCCAAAAGTCATAATCTACACTCAACAAAGGAGAATTTACCAGTATGTTTGAGGACAATATACCAATCTAAGCTACCTTAGTGTGAAACCAATATTTAGTGAAGCAAGCTCGGAAATACAAACTATGCTTGAACATTTGTCAACCCATTTTGATTTTCAAAGCGCTTTTTCCATGCCCATTTTTGCTTATCCTTGCCCTACGACAATGTATTGACCATATTGCCCCTTCTTCTGTGACTTTATTGTCTCCTCTCTCTGTTCTCTCTCTTGCTTTCGCTCATGCGCGACTTGCTCCATCTCGAGAGCCAGTTCCCCTTCTTCGTTCTCCAAACGCTTTAAGATATGTCAAAGTGCCCCGACAAACCACAGTGTTCTCTCGTCGAGCTTGCGCTACAATTCTTCAACTATGCAGCTATTGCTGGTAATGTGTATGCTACTGCTCGCGGACTTGGGCATGGCGTCGCTTGACCGCCGGATATCCTACCGAGGTTGGTGAATGGTGATGGTTCACTGAGAGAGAACCAACAAAACCCAAAAAAAAGAAGAAGAAAAGGTCACGGAAGGGGCAATATGGTCAACCCACCCGTAATAGAGCGTGGATAAGCAAAAACAGGCATGGAAAAAGCGCCCGCCGAATGCAAAATGCGTTCCTTTTTTCCCCCTTAGATGACCACTGGTTTAGTCGCACCATCTATATATTAATGAGATGGGATCTATTGTTGCTGTGATTATGGTTTCGTCTAGAGTTTCGATCTCGGTTTTCATTTAATTTCTCGTAACATTCTTTTCCATTTCATGATATTATTTTTGAACTAAAGCTTTGTAATTTGGATGAATTACCACTCTTCTTTGTTTAAATTAGAAAAAAAAAATACTTGAGCCTTTTGTTACACGACAAAATCCCCCCCCCCCCCCCCAAAAGTCAATGCAGATATTGATCTCTTTCGTTACAAATGTATTTTTTCTATTGTAGATTTAACTGATAAATTCATTTTTTGTGATGAAGGTTCAATAATCTTTATTTTGATTTTTTTTATAGAAAATCTATTTAGATCAATTTCACGAGTTCTCTTCTTGTTATATTATCATATCTAGGCGAAATTTGCTTTGATTAAAGGATTTTGCACCCTTTTGATAGCAGCTCTATCTACTTCCTCTCCATTACTTCCTCTTTTATATGCCTTCTTTTAATTTTACGAACTATCTCACTCTTTCTCAAGAAAAGGCTGAAAACATCAATATCTGCTTTATACTAAATGAAGTTACATGCTGTTTTTAAGAAGCCACACACGTTGAAATAAGAGAGGAAAGGTTGAAAATATTTAAGCGATAGAAAACAAAAGGTAAAAGTAGTAAGGAAGGGGATCTTTTGTCGTACAAGGATTTATAATGATAAATAAGAATAAAATAAATAATTTGGCACAAGTATGCCAAAATGAATCAGCATGGGCATCCAAATTTTTAAAAGCAAATTATCCTAGCTAACAAGTGTAGTTAGGCAAAGTGTATAACCAATTTCCATTGACTAATTATATTATAAATTATCTCTATTGAAAATAATTCAAAAGGATAATGCTACCTTAAAAAATCATTCAATAAAATGGGGGTTTCTATTGTGTACTTTTTCTCCATACAAATAAATTGCTTTGGAAAAAACCACAAAATAACAGCTTTCATTGGTAGCTTGGACCTATGCGATGGCCGATACGACGCTCCTGAGCACGGGCTCTATAGCAATCTTGACATCGTCTTTGAAAATTGACATTCACAACCCCACATTCGCAGTAATTAACTAATGTTTACATTTAGCATTGTAATAACACGGATATGCTATTTTCTGGTCATGAGAATTAATTTCTTTTTGTGATGAGTGTAGTCCACTGTCAATGTCCCTAGGCAACCGTGGCATGATCTACATTGCAAAGCTAAGATGATAGTTGATACTCTGTGTTTCAGTTTGGAGGAAGCAAAAAAGAGAATATATGCACGTAGCACGACTGAAGTAGAGGCGGAGCATTTCAGAAGCAAGTGTCTTTGTTAAGTTTCCCATCGCAACCAACGAATGATTAGTATCGCATCATCGTTGTGCATTGATATTTTGAGCTATAAACATATCTAACTGGAGTTGCTTTTATATTACCTTATTTCTACATTGATTCCCAAAGCAAGGAGCACGGAGGTATGAATTGACTCCACATAAATGCATCTACTATACATCTCTACCACAATTTTTCAGTCATTTAATCCATTCATCCTCTAAATCCAAAAGCTCAACTTGCCTATGATTTATGACCCTGCAACGCTTGTTGTTTTGTTGAACTTACTAAATCATTCGGTGACAAGTATGAAAATGAATGATTACTCATAGACCACCTCCAGTTCAAGTATGGGAGGCCAGGAGGTAGAATGCAATAGAAACTATGACCAACCTAGATAAGACCGGAAAGGAGGTCAAGTGCCGAATCGACAAGGAAGCACTCAATATTGGCTACCGGGGACATATGTAGCTGGATGCTCTGCAAATTTATCCTCCTCAGCAAAGTTATGGTCCCCAGAGGCAAGGTGAAAGAAGAGATCCCATGCCAATGAGCAATATGGATTATGCCACCGGTGGAAGGGATCCATATCAAGCAAGGAAGGAGAGGTCCGGTGCCTTCATACGAGGGAAACTACAATCAGTAGGGTCATAACAACAATTACTATCGGCAAACAGAGAGACCTGCCGCAAGGAGATAGATGGAGCTCTGCACCTCCAGTGCAGAATGATTATAGGAGAGACAATCGGAACCATGCACCTACTCCTGGTGGAACATAAGGGAAGGGTCTTGATGGATTTCAAGGGCAGGGTACTGGTAGTACTGGTGGCCACCTCGCTTGAGGGTTGCTTTTACGAGTTCTTTGAAGGAGGGAGGAAAACAAAAATCATGTCTTTGAAACATCATTCTGAACGGCAGTGGCCAGTGAACACTCCGAGGAAGGAAAGGACATCATGAATGAGTAGGTCGAATTTGGTGTTGTGCACAGTATGTTGGCACAAACGCACTTGAAGGATCAATTAGATTTAAGCTATAACTCTTATAAATAAGCCTTGAATGGTGAGCGTCGAAGCAAAGGGAGAGAATATTGGTATTTTGTTGGCAAGTGCCGTCCGTGCAATATTTCGAGGGGCCTCATTGACCAGTTTTGTCGAGAGATTTCCTCAGATCGGACTAGTCTACCTAATCACCTTTAGACGAAGTCATTATTTTTAAAAAATAATTAATATTACAAAAAAAAAAAAGTAGATGCCCCGAGCTCTAAAACTAGTAGAGGGTTTGCTTTGAAATCACAAGAATCATAGAACTAAACTTCAATTTAACATCAGAGTCCTCTAAATCATTTATCAAGCCAAGACTCTCATGGCAATATCAAGCTCACGTCTCATCAATTTATTCACACACGCGATATCACTTATCCACGGGCAACAAAAAAGGCAACCAAACTAAAGACAAAATCCATCTAATTGATCCCTATTGCACAAATCCCAGCACATGTTCAGAATTGCAACAGAGCATAAACGACCGCCAATTGTGATCCTTTCATGACTAAATGTCATGAATTGAAGCCATATCTTCCTACAAGCGCGTATGAGTCTGCTTGATCAAAATGGCATCAATCCAAGACCAAATTGTGATCCGAATTTAAACAAAGAAATCACGGTCAGCATGCAATACTTTGATTCTAGCATATTCAAGTTCAGTTATGGCTATAATTCTCGTAAAATTGGCATCAAATTCACCATATTAGTTTTTCCTAGCATGAACATATATGATCCCATAACCAAACTAGCCTCAACGTGGAATCAAAAGCACACCAAATCAGAGATATCAAGACAGTTAGCATACACGGATCGATTTCCAGTAGAATTTAATTCATTCATGACATAAATTTCTTTTCAAGGGAACATGGAATTCACCATAACACAATCTTATATCACTACACATGCTTACTTGAGTGGAATGGCATAAAATCAAGGCCCAATTGACATCAGCTCAGAGCGGCAACAGTCGCAAATCGGCATGTATTGACAAGGTTCAAGCAGATCCAAAACAAGTTCGAAATTGAATACCTATGATTATTTATGAAGAAACAGAACTCAAATACGCTTATATGACCAGAATAGATCAATAATCTAGTAATGAAGGAAATTCTCAGCCAAGAACTGGATCAAAATACACACTGATTCAGTACAGGAATTTCATCAAACAGGTGGTATGCATTTCGGCCAAGGAGCACCAGATCAAATCATCAATACAGCGTGAATAATAACCGATTTTCACACAGACAATAGCAATAGCTCCCAGCCTCTGCTTCGTATATAAAGCAACGGAAAACAGAGGAAATGTGGTTTAGTTGAATGAAGAATGATTAGCTAAAGCGATCGACAACGGATATATGAGTAAGGAGATAGTAGAAGCAACGTCAAGGAATGGAATCGTTGAAGCAGGCAGTCATGACCAACGTTTGAGCACTTCGGCATTACAAAACTTCTTCGCGGCAGCAGAACCGGTGACGATGGGGAACCGGTGACGATCATCAGCAACGAAGCGAGGGGAAAGGATTCAATTGAAATCACCGAGAGAGTGACTTGGGGACGCTCAGAAAATCACCCGAGCTCCTTCGATCAATGGTCTCTGTTCTTGCCCCCTCTTAGCGATGAAAGTTGGGCGGTGGCTGTTGGTGGATGGAGGGCGATGGAGAGGACAACGAAGATCAAAAGGAATCGCCGAGGGCTAAGAGAGAATTTGCTGAGCTCCTTTGGCGTGTGCGAAGGTGGCTCTGCTTCTGTTCTGTTCTGCCCTCCCTCCCTCTGCAGAGCGCACCGAGCCTGAGCATAAAACGGAATCGACGGATCGTTAGATGCAGAGAGAGAGAGAGAGAGAGAGAGTAAGGAAGAGTGCCAGAGAAGTCTGTTGGCGGCCACGTGATGCAGAGCGCATGTGGGTCCCACTGAGAACTGTGCATTAGCTATAATACAAACTGATTTTCGATTCGAAGGGACAGGAGCCAAACCAAAGCAGCGAATATTGAAGGAATACCCGACGCCTTATTCTATATTGCCAAACACCGTTCACCGATCCAATCTTGCATCAAGTTCCAAGATCCAGATTTGTCGTCGTCGTGCTCGGTGGCTTTCCCAGTTAACAGTGCCTTGGTCCGGCTCTGCTCCACAGCTTACCATACTCAAGTCTCGCAAGGATGGGAAGTCCTCAGAGTACGGTGATTTTAGAGAGTATTTCTCAGGTAAGAAGCTCCTGAATTTCGGCAACTCGAAAAGTCTAAGAGCAGTTAACTTGGAAAAGGTGATTGTCGTGCGGGTCGCTTCTTCCCATTTTTCATGTCCAGCAATTAGTTCCATATCTTCACACGACTCCACCACCAGCTCTTCGATTTGCCCGAGAAATTCTGCCATGAAGGTAGCGAAAAGCATTTCCAAACGGGAGCACCTCACGGCGTCTACGTATATCAAGTTTGGGAACGGGATGTTTGGGAGACCATCGGACCGCCAAATGTGCCTCAAGCTTTCGAGATCACGCAAAATCAACATCCTCAATTTACCACTCTCTGTATCCGTCCCATCACCTTCGTAAATGATCTCAATCGAACGGCATAAAATCACTTCTAGGATCTCGGGACAATGCTGCAGCCTCTTCCACATGTGGGACATGGTGATACGTTGGAGATTGTCACAGTTCTTCAAATAAAGAGATTCCAATTTCGAAAAGGAATTGGTGGGAATTTGATTGTTCCATAGCTCTTTGCACTGAACGCCTTCAATTTCTAGACTTCTTATATTGGGAAATGTAACCTGCACGAGGATAATGTGAGAGAGGAGGATAGGTAGGACAAATTTATTACATTGTTCTTTCTAAAACATGATAATGCAAGAATACGAATGATCACAGCAAGGGATAAAACGAACCATCTCATTGAATAACGGTTGTGGGGATTCATCATTTTTTTCGGCCATCTCGCCTGACTGCCTCTTGACACTTGTAGGACTCCGGATGAATGCTCCAAAGTTAGGGCACTGCAAAATACTTAGATGTATCAAGGAAGGGAAACTCATCACATCTGCCTTTGATCAACCACCTTCTTCCTCGCGAACCACATCCTTCAACTGTTTGCATTGCCTAATGTCTATCCTCTCGAGTTTCTCTAGCGTTGTGGCTGTGAAATTGGGGAAGAGATATTTCATGTCAGAGCAATTCGCAACACTGACAACTTTTAGACTAGGAAAACCCCAAATCATTTGGGAGTCTCTCTTCACCATGCATCTCATCTTTCCTGCTCCCGTCACCCACACTTCTTCCAATTTGGGGAGCAGCAATACAGTTGTTTGCTTAGTATTTGCATCAAGGGACCCACAATCAAACAATGATTCTAGGGAGGGACAGTTTTGACTGTCGACACTTTTCAGGTTGTGCAATCTCCCCATGATTGTGGAAGGGAAGACATTGGATAGGTCGGAGCAATTTTCAAGGGTGAGGGTGGCTAATTTGTAGAAGGAACTTTCGGGAAGATCACCGTGCCATATCCTTTTGAAGGATCCTACTAATTCAAGCCATAACCTCTCCAAGCTTAGTAAACTAACCTGCTAATGAGAGTTATACGTTAGATCATAGCTATGCAACATCTGATAATTTGGCCTACTCCTAACGATCTATTTGATGCAATGGAAGAATGAATTTTCACCAGTGGCCTTACTCTGACAAATGTAAACATAAATAATGAACACATATTAACTAATAAAACCAAATAAAATTCTTCAAGGAGATTTTATTGCTTGCCCCACCATACGTGTGCCCATGACTATAATGGGTATAATCTCAAGAGAACGGATTTGTACCTTTTGATCAAAGAAGGAATCGGAGTAAGCATCTTGTGAATCTGAAGTAGCGGTTACTGGATTTTACTGAAGTAGCGGTTATAAACTAACCTGCTTATAAAAGTTATACGTCAGATCATAGCTATGAAAAATTTGACAATTTGGCCTAATGCTGATGATCTATTTGACAATTATGGCAATATCAAGCATACATCTCACGAATTTAATCATGCACATGCGATATCACTTATCCATGGGCAACCAAACTAAGACAAAATCCATCTAATTCATGCATATTCCACAAATTCCAGCACACATTCAGAATTGCAACAGAGCATACAAGGCCGCATATCGTGATCATTTCATGACTAATTGGCATGAATTGAAGCCATATCTTCCTACAAGCGCATATGAGTCTACTTGATGAAAATGGCATCAATCCAAGACCAAATTCATACCAAATTTAAACACAGCAATCGTGGTCAGCACACAATACTTCGATTCTAGCATATTCAAGTTCGGTTATGACTATAATTCTTGCAAAATTGGCATGAGATTCACCATATTAGTTTCCTAGCATGTACAAATATGATCCCATAACCAAACTAGCCTCAACATGGAATCAAAAGCACACCAAATCAGAGATATCAATACAGAGTTAGCATACACAGATCGATTTCCAGTAGAATTTAAGTCATTCATGACATAATTTCTTCTCCAAGCGAAGATGAAATTCACCGTGACACAATCTTATATCACCACACATGCTTACTTGAGTGGAATGGCATAAAATCAAGGACGATTGACATCACCTCAGGGCCGCAACAGTTGCGAATGAGCATGTATTGACAAGGTTCCAGCGGATTCAAACCAAGTTCGAAATTGAATAACTATGATTTTTTATGAAGAAATAGAACTCAAATACGCTTATATGACCAGAATAGATCAACAATATAGTAATGAAGGAAATTCTCGGTCAAGAACTGAATCAAAACACACACTGATTTAGTACAGGAATTTCATCAAACAGGTTGTACGCATTTCGGCCGAGGAGCACCGGTTCAAATCATTAATACGGCCTCAATCACAGTCGATTTGCACACAGACAGTAGCAACGGAAAACAGAGAGCATATGTGGTGTAGTTGAAGGAAGAATGATTAGCTAACAGCGATTGACATCGGACATGAGTAAGGAGACAGCAGAAGCAACGTCAAGGAAGGGAATCGTCGAAGCAGGCAGTCATGACCGACGTTCGAGCACTTCGGCACTACAGACCTTCTTCGCAGTGACGATCATCAGCAACGAAGCGAGGAGGAAAGGATTCGATCGAAACCACCGAGAGAGTGACTTGGGGATGCCCAGAAAATCACCCGAGTTCCTTCGATCGATGCTCTCTGTTCTTGCCCCTCTCTCAGCGTGCCATATCATGTAGTGGCCAGAGATGGAGGTTCGATGGTGGCTGAAGATCCTCCGTGGCCGTAGCTGGAATGGCTGAGCAGTGGAGGCGTCCCGGCGGCAAGAGGATTGCTGGAATTAGAAATGATGGAAGCAAACACTGAAGATCATAAGAAGCGAGACCGAGGACAACGATTCCAAGCCTGATTCCAAGATTAAAACTATAGAAAGAAAAAGCACTCAGCTTTGGCCATGGTCGAACCCATTATCGCTTTTCCCTTTCTTCGAACTTGTTCAGCCAAGTGAAGAGATAGAGCGAGATTTAGCAAAGAGAATATTGCGGAGAGAGAGAGAGAATCGGTCAACCAAGAGAGAGAATAATAAGTGTGAGTTCTCTGATAGAGAAGGAATTCATTCAGCGATTGAACGATTAATCAGGAACGGATAATCTGGTCGCGGAGGAGTTTGAACGATTCCGGTGAATTGAACGATTCCTAAGGGGGAGATGTTAGTCAGTTGAGTAAAAGTCTGCTACCATCTGGGGAGATTTTCGCTGACAATATAACCTCCGTCTCTTCTCTATCTATAAATGGAGGAATAGGGGAAGGCTTGAGCTTTTACGGAGGAGAAAGAAAAAGAAGTAGAGCAAGAGAGAGGGAAAGAGAGAGCAAGAAGTAATACTGCCTGGGTTTTGTCATGCTATTACCTTCTTGACCACATTGTGCAGTCCCCCCGATTTCACTCGTGCTGCTCGACCCTTTGACAGTCGTCGTCTTGCCTACACATCCAGACGAGTTGCTTGCTGCCTTCCCCGACGCCAGCTCGACGCCACAGCCACGGTGGCAACACTAACAGGCCACAGCCACGCTGCCTTGCTTCGCCACTATGCTTACCGAGCCTTATCCACAGTTGCGGTGTCTCTCGTGCTGCTCCGTCCAGACCAAACCAAACACAACCGTCTGGAGTTTTCCCCAAAAATAGCATACAGAGAAATCCCGAGCAACATGCCTCGGACTCGCCGGCCTCCGATGTCGTCATCTGCTTTTGCTCCGGTGGTGGTCCTTGTCAGAAAAATCACGCCCATAATGGCAATCGCCACCAACGTCCCCAATCCCCCGTTCAGAGGAGAGGTGGAGTTATTCGCGCGAGTGGTCTTCCATAGGTAGAAGGCCCTGGTGGTCAATGTCTAGGTAGGCGAAGTACTGGTGAAGCCATTCGCCACTACGGGAGCGAAAGCCGGTAGAGATGTCGACATCGGAGGCCGGCGAGTCCGAGCCATGTTGCTCGGAATTTCTCTCTGTTTGCTATTTAGATTATTTTTTTTGGTTGTAAGTAGTCAAAAAAAGAATTGGGTCCTGAACTGAACGGGTTTGGACGAAAGGTTGCAATGAGATGGGCCGACACACTAGTTATTGTTTATTATTTGTTATTTATCTTATTATTCTTTATTTATTTTTTTATTTGTATTTATCTTTATCAATTTTAAAAAAAAATGCATGTTCGATTTGCTTAAACAATAAAAGTGTCAACTAAGGTAACGAGGGTAGTGTTGCAACATCATAAAATTCCAATCTTGACAATCTAGACGGGAGCTTCAGGCAACTTAGTTGTCGTTGTATGTTCTATCCAAATTACTCTTAATTTCATCGAATTTTTGATCGAATCAGGTAGATTGACTACTTGTGACCATGATAGATCCAACTTGAGAAATGATTATGGTTCTCCAATCGAGCATAGAAGCTCCATTCTCCGGTAGCAACTGCATATTTGGCAAGTGTGTAAGTCAATCCAACACCCAATTTATTTGACAAAATGTAACAAAGACAAGATCGACGAGAGCTACGTTCAATTTTCCTATTAATCTCAATATTAAAGCTAATTAAAGCTAGTTTTTCAGTCTCATAACTACACACAGATTACATTTTAATTCTTTTCTTTAAGAGGGAAAAACATATACTGTGAGATTAAGGTTAGAATTGAAATAAGTAGTAATTCCTAGTGTAGAAGAAATATTCTCCAAACCTTCCCAGTAATTATAAAGAAACCAAGATGGGCTAAGCTCACACGTTTTAAACATTAAGTTGCCAAGATCAACTTCGAATAGAAATTGAGATTAAAAAAATCAAGTGTGGCAGCTAAAAGATTTTCAAAATGTGATATAAGGAAAAATCAAGGCCTGCGATTGAATAATCATATTTGCGCATTTTCATAGGGTCGCTACCAAGAGTACAGACTTGTGTATCTCCAATAATTACCCAATTTGTGTGGGATGAAGAGACCACTACACCTGATGGAAATTAATCGGATACTCAAAGAGTCTTGCATACTCTATTGATATCTAAGAGGCAACTTTTTTTTTTGGTCAAAAGAAATTTCTATTAATTACCGAAATCTAAGAGACATCTAAGTCTATTAATCTTGTAAATATACATTGGTTTTGAACTACATACACAACTCAATTGGAAGAAACAGACGGTTCATAGAAGATGCCTTCTCATTCTTCCTTCTTTTTAATTTATAAAAACTTGTAAGCATAATCATAGTTCATTTCTCGAAACATCACTTTAATAGTTCTAAAAAAACC